TGAGTTCACCTTTCTATTCACAGTTCCTCCAGCAGTACTACCATTGAAAAGTTTTCAAAATGGTCATCTATTGATGTTATATCCCATACAGTATTGCCTAAAACCAATGGACCCATGTTACTGCAAAGGAGTTGCACATGACCATGAGAACCACGGGTCTCATCATATACCTCATCACTCAGAAACAGACAGCCTAATGAAATGGTCCATTAAAGGCTCAGCTAATTTTTTAGCTTTTAGAGCATACACTATGGAGTTAGGGTGACTTGCTAAGTGGGAGCTCTTGTTGGTGTCATGAATAGCCTCTACTCTTGTCACCATGAGTGACCCTGAGTGAGACCAGAAGAAGAGCTGCCCAGCTGAGCCCAACCCAAATTGCTAACCTACTGCATAATGAGCAAATACCATGGTAATTATTTTAAACTATTATGTTTTGGAGTGGTTTGTTACATGGCAATAGATTATTGACACAAGTGAACCCAAAATATCTGAAATGGGACATAAGATGTAGCTGATACAGCTGAAGAAAATACTTGCTAACTTCTGTCACATTCTAAAGAGAGCTTCTAGCCCTTTCCCTAAAGGCTCATGAAAAGGCAGCTAAACCGGTTTTATGCCTACCACCGGAACACCTCCTCCAGCCTGAATAAAAGAAGACTAGCTTTTCCTCCTCCTGCCTACAAAGGTGGCAGCCATCTCCTACTCAGCATCATGGCTACCCTTAGACTCCTCATAAAACCCAAGGTTGACCAAAAGAGGACCAAGAAGTTTTTCCGGCACCAGTCAGACCAACCTGTCAAATTTAAGAGTAACTGGTGGAAACCCAGAGGCATTTACACTAGTATGCATAGAAGATTCAAGGGATAGATCTTGATGCCCAACATTGGTTATGGGAACAACAAGAAAACAAAACACATGCTGCCTAGTGGCTTTAGGAAGTTCCTGGTCTACAACATCAAGGAGCTTAAAGTGCTGCTGATGTGCAACAAATCTTACTGTGCTGAGATTGCTTACATTTCCTGAAAAAACCGCAAAGCCATTGTGCAAAGAGCAGGCCAGCTGGCCATCCGAGTCACCAACTCCAATGCTAGGCTGCACAGTAAAGAATATGTGCACAGCTTGTGTGCACACTGCATTGGTGTTAATAAAACCATAAAATCTGCCTCCCCCCCCCCCCAAAAAAAGCCTAGAAGGGAGATTTTTATTACTTACCACTTTTGAGGAAATGTAGATTTTTCTCTTCCACTAGGGAGGGCAAAGCCAAGCAAGGGGGCTTCTGAGAGCTGAGTGAGGAGTGTCTTCAAGAAGTATTACCTTGCCCAGCTAGTGTGGCTCAGTGATTGAGCGTCAACCCATGCATCAAGAAGTTGCAGGTTCGATTCCCGGTAAGGGCACATGCCCAGGTTGTGGGCCTATCTCCAGTGAGGGGCATGCATGAGGTGGCAAGTCGATGTTCTCTCTCATCGATGTTTCTCTCTCTCTCTTTCCTTCTCCCTTCCTCTCACTCTAAAATCAATAAAAGAAAAAAAAAAAAAAGATGTATCACTTTGCCCTGGCCTGTTGGTTCAGTCAGTTGAATGTTGTCCCATGCACTCAGAGCTCCCCATTTTGATACCTGGTCAGGGTACATGCTCAGGTTGCTGGCTCGATCCCTAGTAGGGGGCATGCAGGAGGCAGCCGATAGTTCTCTCTCCCCTCCCTTCCTCTCTCTCTCTAAAAAAAATCAATAAAATATATTTTTTAAAAAAGCTGTATCACCTTCTAGCTGCTTGGTTTCTGAACAGCAGCTATCTATAAGTCCAACTCAGGCAGATAATTTTAGGGAGAGCTGACCACATATCCTTGGAGTTTGGAGACTGGAGTCAGCAGAGATACTGTTGTCTACCTATTGCTATCAGAATTATGAAGACAGAAAGACTGCTGAAGCAGGAGAACAGGGCCGAATGTCTGTTGTTCAGCATGGCAAGGACATGTGAGTTTTCCATGGATCAAGTGAACGTCAAAGAAAGCAAACAAGTTTGAGCTTTTTTTTTTTTCTTTATTAATTTTAGGGAGGAAGAGAGAGAGAGAGAGAGAGAGAGAGAGACATCAATGAGAGAGAACATCAATTGGCCACCTGCTGCATGCCCCCCCACTGGGGATCGAGCACAACCTGGGCATGTGCCCTGACTGGAAATCGAACTGGTGACCTCCTGAGCCACACCAGCCAGGCAAGTTTGAGCTTCTTGCTTGTGCCCTGCCAGTGGATGAGGGGTTCCTGGCAGTAAGAAGTTGTGGGTATTCCACGAGAGGCAGGGACTGAGAAGTTAGAAAAGGTTGAGTCCATACTGAAGAATTATACCTTTAGGAGGGTGCTGAAGAATCATATTCACTTCATGAGAGAGCCAGCATTTAGGTACCAGTCACATAGAAGGCATGTCCAAGAGAGGACTTATAGCAGTATCAAAAAGTCAGAGAGATCAGGGGCTGAGAAAAGAGAGTCCAGACAGAGGAAAAAGCATCATCTGTGTCCTCAGATGTGCTATCGAACCTTCCCAGTGGAAGCCTAAGAAGACTCCCCAAATAAAACCAAGAGAGAAAGCTAATTTTAGATATCTGCCATGTGCAGAGAAGACAAAGGCATCTTACAAATGCACCTATAAAGCAGTAAGTTGCCCACCTCCATTCCACCCTCTTCATCCTTGGAGAAGAAACTGTGGTTAGCAAAATGGGGCAGGAGATGTAGAAGTCTATGGAACAGAAAGAGAAGGATTATACCTGCTTCTTTGACTTTAAACTCCTCACTGATGAGAGAACAAGGTATAACTTTAAATCATGTTCTGAGTTTTGATTATTTTATGGGGTTGCTGGTTGTCTCCCCAACCTTTTTTTCTAAAGTCATAGATTTTAGCTAGGTACAAGACTGCTTAGAATAAGACCACATTCCCCGGTCTTCCTTGCAGGTAAATACAGTAATGTGAGTATGTTCTTGTCAATGGGTTGTGAACACAAGTCATGTTAACAACTTCTAGGTTGTGCCCTTGAAGGAAATGGGTAGGCCTTCTCCTTCTCAATGACTAGAATGTGGTGTGGTGCTGAGCCATTCTGGACCAAATATACTAGGACAACACTCTAGGGACAGTGGAGCAAGAAGACAGAAGGAGACTAACTGTTGCTCACTTTGTGGAACAGAGCTGCCGTACTAGTCCACTTTTGCCACATAATAAGCAAAAGTGTCAGTGTGCCATATTACAATGTACACTTATTTCTCATTCATGGGTTTGTGAGTTGGCTGGGGCAGTTGTTTGACATGAAACCTTGAACTTGAAGCAGGTTTTAACATGATGGTCCCCAATATGTGGGATATACAACAGGAGTGAATGCCCTTTCTGACTACATCCAGCTTCCAAAATGAGTTGCTCTTAACCCTCGAATTGCTCTGCTTCAGGATGTGGGTCAAATTCAGCTCTGCTCTACATGTCTCATTCTCATCACTAGGCTGGAGGGAGATTAGCTCTCAGGACAGTGGCAGTTCCTTCCCATTGCAGTGCTTAGATTCAGTTTGCCATTTTCCCACATTAGTGGAAACAGCACCTTTAGCCCCCCTCAGAGACACCCGTACAGGAAGATGTTGCTTGGTCCTCACAGATCTGAGTTTCAGCTCTACAAGGCCCCTCCTCTAAATGTCTAAATTGCAATCATCGCAACCTCTTCACTTAGTTCCCCAAGCCCTAGGCATAGTAGCTGCTTCCTGCAGTTGCTATTCTTTCGATATGTTGAGTTCACTTCTTGCTTTTTCAGTTATCTAATGATCAATTCTTTATATTAAATTCTTTGTTAAAATAATCGGGGTGGTTTGTTTCCTGACAACACCCTACTAAATCCTATGCCTGTGAGATTCCCCTCAAGCATTTTCTCTTTGATATATTTCATGACAGCCCACCCCCAGTATCTGTCACTCCCCTGCACTCATTTTTATCATAGAATTTACTGTGAACTGTCATCATTGTTTTGTTTTTTTTTCTCTCATCCATTACCATCTGAGGCCAATAGCTCCCTGAGGTCAGTGCACATCTGTTTCCTCAGCACCTGGCACATGGGAAACTGAACGACACACGTTTGAATGAATAAATGAATGAAACAGAAACAGCAGTTAATAGTAAGAGATTTGTAAGGTTCACATAGCGCCAAAATGAAAGAGAAAGTTAGATGGTGCTGTGAGAAACAGGAGGGCCGGGGCTGCCAGCTGCGAGCCCAGCTCTGAGCTACCATTAAGCTCTCAATAAATAACGCGAATAGACAACAGGATGAAGGGACAGCTGAGAATTTGGAAAGAATACTTGGTGACAGGGAGGGGAAGGAGAAGGAGAAGGCCGAAGAACTCCCGGGGACGCCAGAGTAGTGTTGGCCCTTTGGGCTGTAGAGGGATGACCCAGCCCTAAAAGACGCCTCTCACTTCGCCATCTGGTCCTGCCCAGCCCTTTCCGGAGTTTCATTCTGGTTCCTCCGCCCCCTCCTTCTCCGCTCCGCGCCTCCAGAGGAAACAGGTAAAAACAGAGCACTGGGTACTCTTTAAGGGGCTTTTCTGGGCATGCGTTGTCTTCCGCCCGCCTGCCCGCCCTTGCGCAGGCGCAATAACCTGCTGTAAGCAGTACTGCCCCTAGCCGATAAGGGGGAGCGTTCGCTCCGAAGCCAGCTCAGGCTACTCTAATTGACCACCTTTCCAGTGGTCCTCCTCCCTCCGGTTGCTGTGGGGGAAGACTCGCGAGATCGCCTTCGGCAGTCCCCGACGGCGCCATCTTTGTGCCTGGCGAGCGACGGCGCCCGATGGGAGACCTGAAGCTTGTGGTTCGCTTGCCAAGCTCTCGCTGAGAGCGGATCCAGGAAATACGAGGCGGGCCTCGGTGGGAGGGACGCACTGAGGGAGGAGGGAGGAAAGGGGGCGGTGGCGGCGGCTCTCACCGTATCCGGGCTCGGCGCGGCGCGCACCCGAGGGGGGGTCGGGCGGGGAAGCGGCGCCGGCCCGGACCCCCCGCGGGAACAGGCGGCGGGAGTGACTGCGAGACGGCGGCTGCGGCAGACGGAGAGCAGCGGCTGCCGGGTGAGTGTCCGTGAGGAGGCCCGGCACCTGTCCGGTCCGGGATATCGAGGTGGCCCCGGGGTCCTCACGGTGACCCCGCGTCCAGGCGGTGGGCGTGTGCGCAACTGATTGTGTCCCGGGGGCTCGGTTCGGCCTGGGGCTGCGGGGCTGTCGGAGGTCTGTGCAGGGCCTGGCCCGTCCGCCCTGGACGCCCCGGGAGGCCGAGGAGAGAGGGAGTGGCCGGGGGCCTGGGTTAGCTCTGGCCCCCCAAACGGAGAGGATGATGTCCTTCCTCGCCGGACCCTGGACTTGGAAGCCCCAGCAAAGCGTTTTGGAATGAGAACTAACACACCAAGGTTGGAGTTGTTGAGAATTGTGGGGAAGGTTGGTAGTAATTGTTCTGAAAGAGGTTTGCAAATGATTGTGGGCAGGTGTGGAGTAAGGGGAAAACATCATCTACGTTCATTTAGAGATCACACGAGCAGTCCTCTGAGGTCCAACAGATTAGAGTTATGACCAGTGGAGTTCTATAGTTTAGTACTGTGTGCCAGCTTATTCAAGTTCATAAAAGCAGGATTTGGGGAGGTGGCAAGGGGGACAAGGTGGGTTATAAAGTAAGCTCCATATGAAAGTTCATACTGTTGATGAAAAGCATTTCTGTCCTTGCAGAAACGTAATTTCTAAAAATTGCTTAAGAAAATGTGTCACCTTTGGTCCAGACAGGGCTTGTCAATTCCATGTGTTCTTCACTGACGTTTGTCAAACAGAAAATAATTTTGGCAAGAGATGGATTTGCTTCTGGTTTGTAAAAACTAGACTGAATGGGAAAGAAGAACAGTTCAACAATTTGAAAAGCTTTTGCACACTTTATTTTGAAAGTATAAGGCAGCGGTTCTCAACCTGGGGGTCGAGTGACCCTTTCACAGGGGTCGGCTAAGACCATCAGAAAACACATATTTCTGATGGCGATTCATAACAGTAGCAAAATTACAGTTATGAAGTAGCAACGAAAATAATTTTATGGTTGGGAGTCACGACAACATGAGGAACTGTATTAAAGGGTCCTGGCATTAGGAAGGTTGAGAACCACTGGGTAAGGGGATTTACTTTTTTTTCTTTGCAGTAGTATACAAGAACATTTGTAAGGAGAAACATTTAGATCAAAAAGGCTTTTGAGATGAGAGTTTAATTTTTCACAGTATTAAATTGTAAAGGGTATCGTTACTCATGGTATGTTTTGTGATGGTGTCTTTTTATGAACACTGGAAGATTGCAAGCATAAACACATACATAATTTTAAATGTGTATGATAAGAAATTTTTCAACTTTAGCTTTCCCTCCCATTTACCTACAACTGGCTTAATCAAGGCAAAGACTTTAGTGAAGGTAAATATTAAATATGTAATTTCCATCTTTATGTTTGATTGAATATTATAATCTATTTTCTGTCACTCTGAATTTTCTTCCACGTATTTGACAGTCTTCTCAACTATAGGTACTACACTCTGTACAGTTTGTGTTGGAGCAAAGGGTGTTAATTAACATTGATCATGTTCAGGCACTAGGCTTGGTGAGTTATGCACTTTTGCATTTAATCCTCATAGCTACCCTGTGCCAAAGATAAGGTTATCCTTGTTGTACAGATAACGACACTTATAGCCAGTATTCTTCAGTACCTTTCCTGAGGAGGTCATATAGCTGGTAAATTGCAGAGCTAGAACTCAAACTCATGTGTGTCTGATTCTAGAATGTGTTTTTTCTACTATGCTCTGTATAAGTGTATGTGCTGACTGATACAAATTTTATGAAAGTGGAAATTTTTGTCACAAAGAGACCTTTCAATTCTGTTAGTAATCTTGAAAGCTTTCAGTGTTCTTGGCTGAAGATAATCTCAATATTTTTCCCCCCAGATGTCTTTATTTTCTAGCCAGAGGTAACATTTTGGCAGGTCGGCTGATTAGTAAGGATTTCTAATAGCCCTAGTGACCTATCTGAAATTCATATGTTTTCACTAACTTTGCCTGCAGTTTCAGCATGCCCAGGATACTTCAAATATTTTGTTTATTCTGGTCGTGAATAGTTTTTCAAGTTATGTTATTAAAATAAAATACCAACTATAGGGGTTTGAATTTGCTTTGTCATAGCTTGGAGGTACTCACACGCACCCACACATCCACACACCCCACACCCACCTACTCCCTCACCCACCTACCTTCTTCAGCAAGTGGAGTACTTGATAACAGACACTGTTTTTCTTCTCTTTAATTTAGTACAGAAGTTTTGGACCTAGTTCGTGGTTTGCAGAAAACACGGTAGCTATTCTGGGATCCAGCATAATCTTCTGTGGAGTTAGGGAGTGAAAGACCTTCCAGGTTCCCAGGGCAGTATCTTAGATGAGGTGAAACAGCAGGAACATCTTGCTAGTGCATGGCCATTGGTTACTTTTATCCCCCACTGGTCTCTGCTCTTGCATCTTTGATATGCTGCTGAGCTCGCCATCCTGGTCATTATCTCTGCTTAAGAGAGTTCAACTGTAAGAGTAGCTGAAATTTAAAAAGAAAAAAAAGAAAGTATGGTAGATGCTGGCACTCATCCTCCAGCAGGTCCTTTGGTTAGGTTTACCTGTCGAATTAATAATCCCTGGCTGGAAGTGCTGGAGAAGTTATTATAGAAGTTGGGATCTGCTGCTCCATCTTTAAAAAGTAAATTGGGGGTCTTCAGTTAACTAGCCATGTCTCACAGAAACATGATAGAGGCAGAGGAAAAAGAAGTCCTGTGCTCCTCAGGATGCATCTGCATGTGTGTGTTATATGGAGTCTGGAGCTTTGCTTGAAGTAAAAACTTGGAATCCTGATGAGCAATGTTTGGTCTGAATGAGCAAGTTTTTCATTATGGTTATACTCCCAAGAAAGAGTTAAATACACTTCCTTATTTGTGAAGGTAATTACTCATGGTATTTGGGCTATTGGAGTGAAAAAATCGACAAATGATAATGTAACTGAGTACTCATCAAGTAAATAAAGCCTTTCTGAAATGATTTATATTGCTGCTATATAAATAAAAGACACCAGGAAATTGTTTCCGATGTTTTTAGAGGCTTATCTTCATACCTTCTGCATAATAGACTTCAATTTATTACTATGGCCACAAATATTCATTCATCTAAAAGTGAAATGGAGCTGATGAAATATTTGCAACTGTCAAAATGAATTAATCCTAAATAGTTAAGAACATTTATTATAGTTTAATTCATTGGCGGGCCTATTAATTTGTTCGACCCTGTAACATCCCACTTTCTTCCTGCTTGAAATTTCTCTCCTTACTTTCCTTCCTTTCTCTCTGACACTGTTCTGCTGGTACCTGGAGCCTTCCCGTAGTTCTCAGTTGATACAGGTATTTGGCAGAGTGGATGCTGACAAGGAGGGCAACAAAACCTCAAGTCCACTCCCTTTTTCAAATCACTGTGCTGTAGGAGTTCAAGAGGGACCTGGACAGGACCTCGCAACCCACTTCATTCTTTTTTTACCCTTTTTAAAAACTTACTGATGAGGAGAGAGAACCGTCAACTTGCTGCTCCACCTATTTTTCATTCATCATTTGATTCTTGTATTTGTGCTGACCAGGGATTGAACCCGAACCTTGGTGTATGGGGACGATGCTCAAACAACTAACTTACCTGGCTAGGGCTCCTTGAAAGAATAAGGGTAGCCAGAGTAAGGGAGACAGTGTCAAGACCCTTGCCACAGTTTCTCTTTTTCTTTTCCTTCCCTCTCCTAGGTGTTAAAGGGGAATGTTTGTAAAAGCCCTGCTGCTGCAGGAGCAGGCACTGTTTCCATGTCCTTTTTGCAGCCCACCCTGACCCCCACATTATTTCCTTGTTCCTTTTAGCTGCCGTCCTACCCTTCATCCTTCTCTCCCAAGTAGGTCTTGCCTTCCTCATCCCACAGTTTCCTCTCACTGCACCTCTGCCTTTTTGTCCTAACTCTGAGGCCTAATGCACTGCCAACCACCCTCCATGCCTTTCCTTGTGCTCTGCTTTGATAGTGGAAGCCTGAGCCTTTGGTCCTAGGGGTCCCAGAGGTCCCAGACACTCAGTTGGGGAAGGGAAGAATTCTACTTCAGGGCTGAGTGGGACAGGGGGTATTTGCTTTTATTCTAAGTTGAATGCTAAATGGGTTTTCCTATAGGTTTGGTAATTTATTATACTTCTGTAACCTTATGGGTGTTTAAGTTTTTGTGGGTTGGCTTGGAAACCTGGCACATAGACTTTGTTTTTTGGGAAAGCAAGTTCTGAGGTTCAAATAGATTATTTAAAAAATCAGCTTGTGCCCTAGCCTGTTTCGCTGAGCGGTTGGAGCATCGGCCCATGGACCAAAGAGTTGTGGGTTCGATTCCAGCCAAGGGCATATACCTTCGTTTCAGTTCATCCCCAGCCCTGGTCAGGGTTGTGCGACCAGGGTTGTGCAGGAGGCAACCATAATGTGTGTCTCTCACATTGATGTTTCTCTCTCTCTCTCTCTCTCTCTCTCTCTCTCTCTTCCTCTCCCCACCCCCTCCTTCCTCCCTCCTCCTCCCTTCTACTCTATCTGAAGATAAATGGAAAAATATCCTTAGGTGAGGATTGAAAAAAATCAGCTTGTGCTCCAGAAGTTGTGAGTTGCGTGCTTTTTGTAGGGATGGTAGGGAGCATACCTTTAGCTCTCCAAGATTAGATGTGTTTTGTGGATCAGATGGCTCTTCTGGGAAATAAACTGATAGCTTTTTAGATTGTCAGTGAAGAATTTCTGAATTCTTCTAAGAATTCAGGCACATGTTTTGAGTTCAGTCCATTCCAGGTTAATGTTTGTCATTAAAGCAGATGTTAGTGTTGTGGAAAGAACAGTTTTTCTTTGTCATAAAAGGAATATCTTGTTCCCACTATATCTTGATGCTGTTTTGAAACTTTTCAAGGGTATTGGAATTCTTAGTTGTTTTACCCTAGTTTAGTAGTAAATGTGGACAGTGTGTTTTACCTAAAGATT